GGGCACCCCTTAGAACTGTGTGTCCGGGGTGGGGGTCGGGACCCTTTAAGCGGCTAGCCTGAGACAGCATCTCCATGCTCTAAGTCCTCCTCTTATGCCCTGCCGGCACTGCTTCCAGCCATCCTTAAGCCCTGTTCAGAGTCCACTCAATGTGGACTTGCTAGTTCGAATTAGCAAAACGCTAATTCGAATTAGTTTTTAGTTCTAGACGCGTTAGTTCGAATTAGCTTAGTTCGAATTAACTAATTCGAACTAAGTTAGTTCGAACTAGCGCTGTAGTGTAGACGTACCCTTGGAAAGGTGGCAGATGGAGGCATCGCAGCATCCAGCCAAGAAATGCCATTGGAACACCCTGGAGAAATGGGACATGGAAAACAGGAAGAGCCACCTGTCTCTGTAGACTTGGCATAAGGGCATAAGGATGATTCTCATTTCAGTGCAAGAGAAGCAAACACAAAGGGGTCCTTGCAAGATAATCCAATGGATAGAAGCAGGAGTAAGGCCGTACCATGGAACAAGTCACTGAGTACCTCATTTGCATACTGAGGGTTGTTTAAATGGGGGAGGGATAGCTCAGTGGTTTGAACCTTGGCCTACTAAACCCAGGGTTGTGAGGTCAATCCTTGCAGAAGCCATTTGGGACAAAAATTTGTCAGGGATGGTACCTAGTCCTGCTGTGAAGGCAGGGGACTGGACTCAATGACCTTTCAAGGTCCCTTCCAGTTCTAGGAGATAGGCAATCCATTAATTTAAATCTGTGCCTCTACAGAGCCCCTCTTGTCTCCATCCATACCCCACTCTTGTTTCATCTTGTGCTCTTGTGAGTGAGGGCACAGGTACAAGGCAATGTGGGGACAGGGGAGTTTGAGACTAAATATGCAGGACTAGGTCTAACACTTCTTTCATCCACGCTTTGCCTCTCCGCTTGCACTTTTGCTGGAGCACAGCAGCTACATCAGCGGTTCCCAACCATTTCCAGATGGGGACCCATTTTGACAATTCAGGAAGACTTGGTGACCCAGGGCAATTCAAAAATGTGTGAATGGCTCCTTAAGAGCCACCTGGGGAGACACCTGGCAACCCTTTTGAAATGTCATGGTGACCCATATTTGGGTCCCGACCCATAGGTTGGGAAACCTTGAGCTACATGCTCTCTATTGTGCCTTGCACAGGGACTTGTGGGACTGAGGCCATAGTAAGGTACATTCCCTGGCCTATGCACAAAAGCTTGCTCTGTACAAGAGCTGCTGCCATCACACATGCGTTGCTCAGCACAGCCTCCTTATCTTATGAACGGCACTAAAGACAACCCAGCAGCTGGCGGGGTGCCTGGTTTCTGAATTCCAGCTCTGAGCCATTAGCATTATGGATTGGGTGGTTTTAGTTGACTGCAAAGGAAAGGAAAGGAAATTCAAGCATTCTGAGAAGTTTATCCAGCAAGCAGAAGTTGGTGGGGGGATGCAGAAAGGATGGAAGACAACTGGAGATGATTGGCAATGTTTAATGGGACTTCAATTTTTTTTCTTTCTAAGCCAAAGACCAAACACTCTTTGAGGCTCTCCTTCTGGTTGATCAGGAGAAAGAATGCTGTGCCTTTGATGTCTCTTTGGTAAACACAATTGCCAGTTGAGGAAATGGCAGCAGGAGGAAGTTTGAACTTGAACTTGCACGCAAGGGTAAGAGAACAGCCAAATGTTGCATCCCAATGGGTTGTCATAGCCAAGTCTTCAGCCAGCAATAGAATCCGAGCTGTGGGTTCTCAATACAGCAGGTACAGGACTGCGAAAGGTCATCACTAGAACTTCAGCATCCCACTTCTTTAGACATAAATTAGAGGAGAAGGCAGCTGTTGTCCACAGCTAACCATGTTCTCATAACTCAGGAATGAATGAACATGTGGGACCACATGGACAAGGTATGTGCATCCCTGGCCCCTAGAGATAAGGGTTTAGATCCAGCTGTGGCAGGAGCAGCAGCAATCCCAATGAAGCTAATGGGACTTCACCCCATTTATGCCAGGGCTGAATTTCACCCAAACGGTATTATTATGGTAGAATTGCCAAACTGATCAGATCAGACCAGCATCTAGACCATACCCACGTCTCGCCAGCTGCTTCTAAAGAAGGGGCAAGAAGAAATTATATGAATACCTGTCTCCAGAGAAAGTCCCTTCTATTCCCATTCCGTAGAGACTGGCTCATGCAGGGAAGGAGGAGGACTTCCACTTTTTCTATTATAGCTATTGAAGTACTTACCATTCTAACTCTGGCCATTGTACCTCTGTTGTGGCTCTCAGCACTCTCCTTCGTGGGTGTCACTTTTAGACTAGGTTTGGGTAATTCTAACTCCTGTATTGAATAGTATTGGTAAAAAATGTAATTTAAACTTTTTTCAAATAATATATGATCTCTTGAAGGAAACAAAAATATAGATTTACAGAGTTTAAGCACAGACGGGACCATTAGATCATCTAGTATAATCTCCAGTGAACATTACATTTCAGCCATTTACTCCTGTAGTCTAATAACTTACGTTTGACTAAAGTATATCTTCCCAAAAGGTACCCAGTTTTGATCTGAAGACATCCTGTGATAGAAAACCCAGCACTTCCCTTGGTAGTTTGTTGCTGGGATTAATCACTCTCACTGTTAAAAATTTGCCCCTTATTTCTAACTTGAATTGGTTTGGCTTCAACTTCCAGCCATTGATTCTTGTTCTATCTTTTACATTAAAAAAGATTAAAAAGACTTGGACTTTTCATCTTAGAAAAGAGGCGATTAAGGGGGGATATCGTCTATAAAGAGGAGATTAAAGGTCTATAAAGTCATGACTGGTGTGGAAAAAGTGAATAAGGAAAAGTTATTTGCTTATTCCCACAATATAAGAACTAGGGGTCACCAAGTGAAATTAATAGGCAGCAGGTTTAAAACAAACAAAAGGAAGTTTTTCTTCCCTCAGCACACAGTCAGCTTGTGGAACTCCTTGCCAGAGGATGTGGTGAAGGATAGGATTTTAACAGGGTTCAAAAAAGAACTAGATAGATTTATGGAGGTTAAGCCCATCAATGGCTATTAGCCAGGATGGCTAGGAATGGTGTCCCTTACCTCTGTTTCTCTGGAGGTAGGTGACAGGGGAGTGATCACGTGAGGATTCCCTGTTGTGTTCCCTCCCTCTGGGGCATCTGGTATTAGCCACTGTCAGAAGACAGGATACTGGGGTGGATGGACTGTTGGTCTGACCCAGTATATCTGTTCTTATGTTCTTTCTCTACTAGATAAAAAAAGCCCGTTAGTATGCAATATTTTCACCTCAGGATGGTACTATTCATTGTAATCAAGTCACCTCTCAGTCTTCTTTTAGTTAAGTGGAACCAATGGAGGCATAGTAAGCCATTTTCCCCAGTCCTTGAATAATTTTTTGTGGCCCTTTTCTGCACCCTTTCCAATTTTTCAACATTCTTTTTAAAATGTATACACAGTATTCTAATATTGTATCTCTAAAGCCATCTACAGAGGTAAAATCATCTCCCTATTCCTACTCATTATTCCCTTGTTTATCCATCCAAGGATTACATTAGCCCTTTTTGCCACAGCATTGCATGGGTAGTTGTCCATTATGACCCCTAAATCCTTATCAGAGTCACTGTTTTCTGGGATACACTCACTCATCTGTAGGAGTGGCCTGCATTCCTCATTCCTAGATGTGTAACTTTGAATTTGGCTGCACTAAAATGCATTTTGTTTCACTGGGCCCAGTTTATCAAGTGATCCAGATCACTTGGTATGACAGCCCTGTCCTGATTTATGGAAACAAATAGAAATTTTTCATTGTTTTTCCTGCTCTCTATTTTCCTTCCCCATTATTATGATAAAAGAGGGAGGGCAAAAAAAACCAAAAAACTGAACTGAAATGGAAATTTTCAATCCAGTTAGTTTTATTGAAAATGTTTTTGAATTTTTTCAACTACCCTTACTCACTGTTGAACTAAGTATTTTCCTGCTGTGTTTCCCTGTGCATTTTGGTAACATGGTTTTTTTAAGGGCCCATTTTTGTATTGTGCATGTGGCGCAGATCCTCTGCTGGATGGTATGTGCATAGTTCAACATTGTCTCATAGACACTATACTGTGAAGAGTTAATAGAGATTCTTTTTGTGGGAAGTGACAGTGGCCTAGATCTGCCTTCAAGCCCTGCTGTTCTGAGTAGTTATGGTGTGTGGCATTGTGACAGTCAGCCAGTTCCTACATGATCTTGAATTTGTTACAATACTGTAGCATGCAAAAGGAAGCCCAATTCTTGGATAACAATGTAAAACACATCAGCTCTCTGTAATATATACATGTATCTGTTTGCATTCCAAATGTCACCGGGTGGGGCCATAAGGAAAACCAAGAGCAGCTGTGGTGGTGAAACAGAGTGAATAAAAGTTTGAATTATTGTTAACATATGCACCACTATAATAAAACCCCGATCTGATCAGTTACATGAACACAACATATTGCTGAATAACCCCCCTCTGGATACATTTGTATTCCAAAACATGTCATAAGAAAAGATTAATGGTTTGGAAATGGATCTTTTCCTTGGGATGCAGATTTCATTTCCTTGCCTGATATTTTTGGAAACTTTTCAAAAAGCTGAGGGTGGGGGGAATAATATGAGGTATGAAACCTGGCCAATGTCGTGTTTAATTAGTACAGCAGTCAGGCATGACAGGGACAACCTGGAAGCAAGGATGATCACCTGCTCCCTGGAAGCTTTTCTTTTCTCTAATCATTGGCCCCCAAAACAGTATTTTTGGTGGATGGGAGTAACTCAACCTGGGGAATTTTGGAGTTTAGCAAAACATTATAGGACCTGTTTAAGAAACCAATTTTCTCTCCCATGGAAAATGACTCAGAATGCAACAGAATAAGTTTCCTTAAATAAAGAGATTGGTTTCCATGCTACAGAGCTGAAAGAATCTCAGAGCCTCCCCCTCCACTGGAATCTTTTTAGAAAAAGACTTTGGTCTGGTCTTTCTTATTTTCTGAATTTTCCCCTGCTCAGATCCCATCCTGATGTACATCCTTTGCAATCTGAGTCAAAGAAAGAAAATATTTGCAGTTGCTAAATTCTTGCTCAGTCATTGATCTACTCTCATTGCAAAGTGCAGGGACTTCCCACAGGTAGAACACTCCTGCTAGCATCATTGAGTGGCACACACAGACAATCTTTCCATCAAATTAGGGAGAAGGTGCTTGTCTTGTGATCATGCTATTATCTTATCTGTACTGGAGGTGGGTGAAATGGTTCCAGTAATATAGAAATTGGGCTAACCTTTCATTCAAAACTCAGAATGACTCTCAAGTGCAACTTTGTTGAGGTCATAAAAACTTGAAAGCCCCTGGGGTTTTTTCTATATATTTCCATCCCCCTTTTTGCTTCTGAGTTCTGCCGCAGCCCATCGGCTGGGATGCCAAGCTACTGCATTCAAGTTCATTCTGATGTGATAGAGAGCACGAGGTTCTGGATATTTCATGAGAAAGCTGAGCCAACTCGGGAGATCAGGGCTCTTGGAGAAATATGGGACCCGCTCACATTTAAGCATATCCAACTGCAAATAAGAGCAGGGTAGAGCAGTCACCTTGGGCTGTATGCCCCTATCTGGCAGTGACAGCTGGCTGGAGGTGGGGTCTGCTCTGCATCCCTCGGTTGAGTGAGGACTAAAAATTTAACAGATAGATCATGTTGATGGAATGACCCAGTAGAACCAGTTCCCTTCAGACTGACATACTTATCCCACACCAGTTGGGCCGGGACTCTCTTGGTCTTGGTATTTGCTTCCCAATTTTCTTCCCTATTCCCCATTTCACTTTCATCTGATGGGGTGCTGTCCACATCCTGTGAGGCAGCTCGACTGCAGTCTTGGTCCTTCTTTGTTTTGACATTTACTGCTTTAGAGTTGAACTCGCCCCCTGGAGTTTTGAAGAACTTCATCTCCTGATCCGGGGTTCACAGCCAGGGCCAACTGGTCTAATGCTCTGCAAGTTAGAACCAGGCAGGCTGGGATCCCTCTCACTCTAGTAAAGTGCTCTGAGATCTGGTGTGAGCCACAGATGTACATTTCATAAAGCACCCAAGATGCCATATAAGTGGAGGAAGTAAGTAAGTAGTGCGGGATCGCAGAGCTTTTCCTGAACACTCTGAGATCTTTTTCTCCTCTCCTTCAGCCCATTCTCTCTCCAGTCCCTTCAGCACTTGAATCAAGCCATTCTCCTCTTAGTCCCCAATCCCCGGCGGGGAGTGACCCAGTCTGGCCATTTATACTTCATCCAGTAAAGGAGTGAGCTGCTCATCTTGGTCTCACTACGGATGCGAGTGATGGTAACAAAAGGTTGCTCCAGAGAGTGACTTGGATACTTGTCTGTACAAGTTTAAATCCATCCCGCAGTGGCCATTCCACTTCTGCTCTGACTGGGAGGTGAGACGCTTTCCAGGATTATTAGGCGGCATCCTTCACCTCTTGGCTTCTCTGAACCTTCTTGCCATCTCTTTCACTCGCGGATGTTCAGGCACATAAGTGACATGAGTTTGTGAGGTCTTGGTCCAGTTCTTAAAAGGTAAGGAAATAACAGATGCTCCTATTAGGGTGAGGGGCACAGGCCATTGAGAGTACAGGGAGGCATGTGGCTCAG